CCTGTTGCTGCATGTACTCGAGTTATGGCCGAGTGGTGTTCCGTTGTCTTACTGGACCACACTGTCCGTCCCTGCCAGTTGCTGGGCACGTGGGTTTTGCCTGCAAACAGCGCTGCAATGCGTATGCACGTAGGAGGCTTCGTGTGGACGGATGCTTTCATTCCTCTTGGGTAGGTGACTGGGAGCAGGATTGCTCGGATGGCATCCTAAGGAATTTTGTTTCATTTGATATGTTCGGGGTGGGGGGGAGACCCATGCATGTATTTAAAGCAGTGGTGATAAATGGACAGAATGTTTGAGAAAGATTCTCAGGACAGTGTCGAGCATGAGAACAGATGGGAAGCAGGGAGGCTGGTTGGGGAATTGTTGCTTTTCTGTTCGCCTGTGGCCAGCATTGCCATTTTTGTCACCCTCTTCAGTGGGACACGTCTAAGGACATAGTGATGCAAAGGCTGTTTTTATTGGTGGAGCCATTCTCCCCACGCACCAGGATGTAAAGGCATCTTGCTGAGCTAAGTGGTAATGAAGGGAGTCACCATGAATGTTTATATAATCTAAGGATTAGCGCTTTTCTCATGCCTTTAATTACTCTTTTCTTCCCCCGTCTTTTCCTTTTTATTTACTCTTAATGTTTCAACCATGGCATGGCAAGGGATGTAAGGGTTTCAGATGCAGCTGGTCACTTTTCCCATTTTTTGTTGTTTTGGAAAAGGATACAATATTTGTAATGGCAGTGGTTACAAAAAGATAAAGTTTAATATAACATAGACAGCTTCCTCCTAAACCATTAAAAAAAACCCCACATGGAACAAAATAACAGTCCATTCCAGTACCCTCTAGTTCTGCTTTGAACGATTATTAACATGATTTAAATCCATTGAAAATTAAGAAGGGGCACAGGATTTCTCAGTTCAAAGAGATCTTAAGAGAACCAGCCCCTGCCTTGGCCAATTTGGCTCAGTGGTTGGAGCAATGGCCGGTGGACCAAAGAGTTGCAGGTTCGATTCCTGTCAAGGGAACGTACCTCAGTTGTGGTTTGGTCCCCGGCCCTGGTTGGGGTCGTGTGGGAGGCAACCATTGGATGTGTCTGTCTCATGTTGATGTCTCTCTCTCTCTCTCTCCCTCTACCTCCCTTCCACTCTATCTGAGGATAAATGGAAAAGTGTCCTCTGGTGAGTATTAGAGAGAGAGAGAGAGAGAGAGAGAACCAGCCCAAGTCACTCATTTGTACATGAGAAAGGGGAGTTCTCCCCGGCCCTGTCACAGCCATGAAAATCTGTGTTGTTTCAGAAGCAGGACCACATGCCTCCCCAGCATGAGAAGAAAGAGAGCTGTGTGTTTTTACAATTGGGAAAACTGCCTTCGGCTTTTTGTACATTGAGAAATAAAAATAGTTACGATAGGACAAAACTTGAATTAGAGAGGGGGCAATCGTTAGGAGCTCTTACATAGGAAGATGGGGGAAGAGATGGGACAGAGTAATTTCCTGATAACAAGTGCTTTGAGATTTTTAATATTTTATCTATTTTTGTGATGGTATTGAAATATTTTGACACTGAGATCTAATCTGGCTGTGTAGCAAGCATGTTATTTTAATGTTGACTATGTTGGATGTCCTGAACTGCCAACAGTATTGTTTTCTTCTTATAAGTAAATCTCGTGTTACTGTTAGCTGTGTAGCATGGGAAACGTGTTTGGGAGACCCATGATGCTAGCAGCAAAGCCCCGACTCAGAGCGCCAGGATCCCCTGGCCGCTGGCATTGTGCTGACAGACACTTCTGCAAAACCAAAACGAGCCAGTGAGAGACATGAGCCAGTGCTGAGATGACTCCCACCCTACTAATCCACATCTCAGTCAAAAGGCATTTCATTTTCCATGTCCTCGGCGTGTATGCTAACGAATAGGGCATGCAGTTGGGAATGCACAGTGTCCACTATTTGTTCAGCCTCTGCTTTGGGCATTTATTCTTCTCAACAGTGGAGGGTTCGGGAAGGAAAGAAGAGAAAGAAGGAATAAACAAAAGAGCACAGCAACTTGAGAAATTCACAAGGAATGAAATAAAGCGAAGGTGATCAAAGTGTCAGTTTTATTACCATGATGAGAGCTGGTTTAAAGGATGGGGCTGAGATGAGCTGGAATAATAGGTTTCTTTTCTTTTTTAAAAAATATGTTTTTTTATTGATTTTTTTTAGAGCGAGAGAGTGAAACATCCATGTGAGAGAGAATCATCAATCAGCTGCCTCCTGCACGCCCCCTACTGGGTATTGAGCCCACTACCCAGGCATGTGCCCTGATGGAGAATCAAACCGGGACCTCTCAGGGGAGGACACTTAGTCCACTGAGCGGCCGCGGCTGGGCGATATCGTCGTCCCTCGCCACTTTGCACTTCGGCTTCCGCGCTTCACTCCGTGATGGAAGCTGCAAAAGTTGAAACTGAAAGTGGTGAGGGACAACTGTATATAAATAAAAAATCCTACTTCGCGGAAATTCATTTATCACGGTAGAGTCTGGAACTGATTAACTGCGATAAACGAGGGCCGACTGTCATAGGTTTCTTAATACTGAGCCCCAGAATTGAAAAAGCCCGCCCTCCGGGCAGACAGAACACCTCTACTTCTCCCGGGTGGAGGCCACTCCCTGAAGGATGCTCAGCTCCTGGGAGGAAGAGAGGGGATAGCACTCAGCCGCATAAGCTCGTCCCTTCCCCCAGCTCAGTAATCAGACAAGTCGCACCCCTTCCCCTGTGGGGAGAGGCTGGAGGCTGAGCTTCCAGGAAATTTCCCTCCTTTGGAAACCCTGCAAGTAATAAATAAGTGTCCCTTTTTCCTGGGTAGATGAGAGGGGATGTGTCAAGAGACTCACCCTTTTGGAACCTCAATGGCCCCATCTGTGAAGTTAAATTTTCTGCGTCTGGGACGTTGACAGGATAAAAAGAAACATACATACAGCACCGGGCATGGAAACCGGCAGCCTGACCCAGAGTAAATGCTAAAAAATAGTAGCAATTCCATTCACCCTTCACTGGGATCGTTCCACATGTTCCTTCTTTGTCTTCTTTCACTTGTTATTTGGATAACTAGATGGTATGTGCCATTCTCTGAAACAGGGTAAATATAAGAAAGAATAGATTTGTGAGGAATAGTGAATTCCATTTCTGATCTACTGAACTTAAAACATCTGAGGCAGAAGTTATAGGTTTCTGTAATGCGGGAGAAAATTAACTAGTCAATTGTAGCTCAGTTTGGAAATTGAGCAGTTAAACCCCTCGAGTGCAGGAGCCTGACCCTGGAGAGCACAGGATCCCAGGGATCCGCGGGGGCAGGAGCCACAGAGGAGACCGGGAGGAAACGGAGAGGACAGAGATGAAGGAGGAAAACCAGCCTGTGAGATGCTGCAGAGGGACCCTGGCATCGGTTAGGAAGAGAAGGGCACACATGAACCTGTAGAGAAGGCCGTAGGCATTATTAGCTCTCAGGTACAGAGCACTTACTGTGTGCCAAGCACTGTGCTATTTGCACGTGTATAATATCAACTTAATTCTCAAACCACTACCTGCATTTTCTAGATTAGAGATGTGAGAGTCACAGAAGTTTAGAACCAGCTTGTCTTAGGTCACAGAGCTGGAATGTGGCGTAGCTGGGACACTCCTTTACCTTCTGGAAGACTTGCTTTTGCCCACGTGTGGGGGCAGCATTGTGCATTGAGGGGGACGCAGGCCTGAGGGTTAGGGAAAGAGAGGACAGCAAGTGGAGGAGAGCAGGCTGAGGTGTGTCTGCCTGCCTGGTTGGTTTGCCTTAAGACAGCAGAGACGTCAGCACTATTGAAGGATGGCGGCTCAGGAGGGAGCTGATTGGAGACATTCAGAGGAGGTAGAAGGCAGTGGCCAGTGGGTGTGGGGGGAGAGCCCCTCCTTTGTGACAGCATAGAGCAGAAGTAATTGAATTTGTAGGGTCAGTGTCCGAGCATTGAGGAAATTCTCTTCTGACTGTTCTCATTTCTCTCTGTCCCTCCCACTCTGTTCCCAACCACCTGTCCCCTTCTCCATCGGGAACATCCAGCTTCCCCATCAAGGTTTCACCCTTATCACTCTCCTGTGCCCTCGGACAGGATTATTTCCTCTGGGCTCCCCGGGGAACCCTTGACTTCTCCCGGGCACTGCTGGGCGTGCACCCCCAGGACCCCCCTCACCTGCTCTGCTGGCTGTGGCTTATGCTGAGTAACCGTGAATCGGTTCAGTTTGCTCTAAGACATGGAGCTGCTCTGCAGGAGCTTATGGTTTGGAAAGGGACAAAGATAAGTGCACAGATGATTATAATAAAGGTCATATGTGATGAGGAAGGGTGCTCTGGGGGGGATGGGGTGGAGAGAAGAGAGAGTGGGGGAGAGAGAGAGACCACTTGCATGAATGATGGAGAAACTTTACAAGGAATGTGGTTTTGAGCTAATTGTTGAAGGAGGACATATTTTCTGACAGCTGTTAGGACTAGGCCATTAGTTTGGGGAAAGGAGCATCAAAGCTTATATGGGGAATGTGGATGGTCCACTCTAGCTGAAGTGTGGACTGTAGGCAGGGTGATTGGTCCATGATGCAATGGAAGGGCCAAGTGGTAGACTAAAACATTCCTGTTTATTTGACTCCAGAGTACAGCTTCCTCTTTTTATGTTTACCTGTTTAGACAGATGGTAGATACATGTCAAAACTGTTGTGAACAGTCTTTTGTACTTAGCCAAGAAGTTTTTCATAAGAGTTTAGAAATCATACCTACTGTTTTTATCCCATAAACTAGAACACCAGTGTTCACCCAGTCCCCAACTACACCTTTGCGCATACAAGGAAGACTGTGCTGAGCCATGGGAAGGCGGCCCCCAGCGAGCCAGCCCTTGTGGTTGTGGGATTGGGTCCAACACTAGCTTTCTCGCTATTTGTAAGTCACTATTCTTAGTAACTATTTCTAGACAAAAGTAAAATAAAAAATTAAAACCTCTTTTTTCTTTCAGTTAAGAAAAAGAAGCCTAAACTATTAAATAAATTTGATAAGACTATTAAAGCTGAACTTGATGCTGCAGAAAAACTCCGTAAAAGGGTAGGTCGATGTTTTTGTTTGGCGCAGAAATGTGCAATGGTCTAGTTGTTAAGTAAAGTCAGGCATCCCCCTTTATTTGTTTTTTAAAAAAGTTAAGAGAAACAATTTTTGAATAGAGTGGGTTTTTTCCCCAGAGACATCAACATATGAAATGAATCAATTGAAAAGGAAAATTGCAGCTGTAATGGCCAAATAGAAACAGAACTTACCTTCAGGTCAGCTGACGTGGAAGTCAGCCTATCACGTTCTAGCTGTGTGGCTTTGGGCAAGTCGCTTGGCCATTCTGAGCCTCAGTTTTCTTGTTCTAAAAAGTGAGAATGACAGTCATACTTCCTATTTGGTTTTTGTAAAGATCAAATGAGATTTGGGGGTGGAAAACATCAATGCTGTCAAGTACCATGGAAGTGGAGGTTTTAATTTTATAGCACCTGAATCCAAAAGAAAAAAGTAGGTGAGACCAGTATTCTTAGGATAGTTTCTGTTGGGTGAAAAGGCTTTAGGTTTAACATTCTTCTCACTTGGTGTTAACCTCAGGCACCTCCAGTTTTCAGGGTAGCTTTTATATTTCACTTTATCATCAGTTAATTTGAATTACTACTTGTATTTGTTTCTAGATATTACAGTTTTTAAAACAGTGAATTGACACTAGATTGAAGTTATTTGTTCTCTTAACTCAGTCATATTCATCTAATTATTGATCCAAATATTTATTATAATGTATGTAATGACATCTTCATGTAATCAGCTACTTGTTCTTTGGGGAAATTTCTCTTTCTCTACTTTGTACTTGAATTTATATTTAGTGTAATGCTCATTGGTTTTTCTGTAATATGCTCTTTTTATCAGTAGACTTGGGCTGCAAAAAAAGGATCTTGGAACTGTATGTAAATAAGCAACAACAATTAAAAAACAAACAAAAATACCTAAGTTAGAAACTGACATGGGACAAGAATGTGCTTCCCACGCATTTATTGGGAAGGTACCAGCAAGCATGAAGCCTTCTGCACCAGCATGAGCCAAGCCGTGGCTCACCCTCATTACCAGCCAGTAAAAGTGTAGTACCTCCAAAGACTAGAATACTAAATCAGCCCCACAGAATGAATGATTTCTGAGTCTGTCTTGTTCAACTTTATGAAATGAAGCAATCTACTATTTTTAGGAAATTTGCGTTGTGTAATAGAAGGGAAGCAGGAATCTTCCTTTTCTGTCACCTTGCTTGGCATTCTCCACTCCCTGCGTGCTAAGTGCCACTTGTGCAGATGTGGGGTGCCTATTAATAGAGGACTTTGGGGAAAAATAACACAAACAGCTTTAGAGAAGGATTTTTGTGTAATTAGAATGAATGGGAAAGAAGGGCTCAGTTATCAAGGGGCGAGCAGGTCGGGGGAGGTAAAGGTGCTAGAACAATCAGTGACGTACTCTCTGGTATTTTCACTGATTTAGAGAAATTATGATGCTTTCCTCAAGGAGCACCCTGTATCTGTAATTGTAAATATGGAGGAAGAAGTGGCCACATAGACAATTCTTGCTTCTGAAACAGCAGGGAGCTAAATTATTGACTGAGTCATCAGCATGCTCAGTCTTTCAGGGTTGTTCTACAGCTGGTTTTTTCAAATGATGCGTCTGACTGCGCCGGAAGGTGGAGGCCCAGGCCAAGGCCCGTCCCAGCAGCGGAGGCCGGTCTCCGTTCACGCTGAGCTTCCAGTGCTGTGCTCCAGGGAAGGGCGGGGTCACCTTATTAGTCCTTCAGAAATGTATCGATCGAACATATTTCAGTGATCTGTCTTTTAAAAATAATATTTATTGTTTAAAACTACTTTTTACCCCCTTGGGGGAGCATTTGAAATTATATACTGAAATATTTATCTATTGGAATCATTTATTATTATTATTATTATTATTATTATTGTATTATAAGTGTACGAGAGAGAAAGGAAAGCTTGAAGCCAGAGTAAGGTCGACACTAGAAAGTTCATAGCACAGGCAGTAAACAGTGCTGGATGAAGTACACTGGAGGCAGCACGAGGGAAGTAGCATTACACTGTAAGATGAATCGTGTTCACAGATGGCCGTCCTGTACCAAGTGCAGACAGAAACACCCTGCTGTGGGCCTTCCTAAAGGGCATATGATGGACTGGCTGCACATTCTCTTCCCTAATGTCACACCCACAGATTCTGTGATACGTCTGCCGGCGTATGTCTTAATGTCCTTCACGCCACTGGCCTCATGCCAAACAGTGGGTCCCAAGTCCATGTCCTCCAATGAATGGTCTTGGGTTTAAGATTAACTATAAGCTATGTTGAAAAACAGATGATTTTTAGGCAGTTTTTACAAGCGTTGTATCTTGCACTTGAGTTTTCTAAATAAGAATTGCACAATAGTGTTAGAAGCTGTATTCTCTAGTAAGAACCCAGGGAAGGGAAATTTTTTTTGGACTAAGAGCAAACACGTTTACTTTGTCAGATAATACCTTTTTAAGAAGGCCATACAACCTCTCTCTTAAGGGGATTCAAAAGATGCCTAGGACAAAGCCAAAATATTCTGTTGTTTTATAACCTCGATGACCAACTAAGGAAATGTTAAGGGAAAACAAAACACTTTAGCTAATTTGTTATGAATATTGTAGTCCTGTATTTTAAATCTGGCAATGGTGCATTTAGCATGAATTTCACAAATACAACCTCAACATTTGCAGTTTAAGTTGCAAAAGGCTGAAAATGGCCCCTCAAAAGACATCCATGCCCTAACGTATATTAAGATCCTCTAAATGTTACTTCATTTGGAGAAAGGGTCTTTGCAGATATGATGAAGTTAAGGATCTTGAGTTGGAGAGATAGGTGGGGTTACCCACTTGGGCCCTAAATGCAATCATATGTTTCCTTATAAGAAAGAGACAGAGGGAAATATGATACGGACAGGACAGGAGCAGGCACCCCGAGAGGAGAAGGCGACATGAAGATAGCCAGTGGAGGTTGGAGCGATGCATCCACAAGTCAAGAAATGCTGTCAGGAGGCAAGGAACAGATTCCCCCGCAGCCTCTGGAGGAAGCATGGCTCTGCGACCCTGATTTCAGCCCGGTGGCACTGATTCGGACGTCTGTTCTTCAGAGCTGAGAGAGCATACCTTTCTGCTGTTTTAAGCCCCCAAGTTTGGGACCATTTGTTACTACAGCCATTGGAAATGAATGCTAGGCAGTGGGGTGCTGCTGTGGTAAAGACATGAACATGTACAAGTGGCTTTGGAATTGGGTAAGGAGTAGAGGCTGGGAGATTGTGAGGTGCATGATACCAAAGCCTGGGTTACCTTGAGCAGACTGGCGGTAGAAATGTGGACATTAAAGCTGCCCCTGGAGGCCTCAGAGGAAGTGAGGGCTGAGCAGAGAAAGCTTCTGTTCTCATAGAGAATACACATATTATCACAAACAAAATGTGGGTAGAGACAGAGACATGAAATGTCTGTCAAGGGCCCAGAAGGAAATGAGGAACGTGTTATTGGAAACGGGGGGAGAGTCAGTCCTTGTTACATGGCGGCAGAAAACTTAACTGAATAGACTTTTATGGTCCTTTGGGAGCAAAACTTGTAAATAATGAAGTTGGATATTTAACTAGGGAGGTTTTTAAGCAGTGTGTTGAAGGTGTGGCCTAGTTTCTTTTTGCTGCTTATAGTAAAATATGGAAGGAAAGAAATAATGGAGGAAATGAAAAACAGAACATGATTATTTGTGAATTTCTCAATCTATCCAGATTTCTGAAGATGATAAAACTAGGAAATGCACTGTTAAAAGCATACTTTGGAGAGAAGACCAAGGGTAGGGCTGGACATCCTTTTCCTAAAGAGATTAGATGTATGACTCACTCAACCATCCCAACAGAAGCCAAGAATAGAGATGGGATTATCCTGGGAAGACCGGTGTCTCTTGTATAATGGTGTGAATTCCTGTGGCATACACGGAGACCCATAAGGTTTTTGAGAATGTTATACCAGTAGAAGCACTTCTACCTTAGACTGAGAGAGATAGGGCAAACTGAAAGAAGGCTAACAGACTCCCAAAATTCTACAGGCAGGAAACAAGCTAATGAAACTAATCAACTGTGAACCCATTCTACCCTTTCAATAGAAAGGAAAGATAATTCCATAGGCAGAGCCTGGGACCCCGAGGCTAGAGACAAAGAAACCAGAGCAGAGGACCTGGAGGGCAGAGCCTGGAGTCACAGACCATGAAACCTATTGGAATTTGCCTTGCCACATTTTGAAATTGGTTGGAATCAGTGATACCTTTCTTTCTTCCATTTTCTCCCTTTTGGAATACAAATGTCTGTAAGCATTATCCCATGTTTATCTCACCATTGTGTTTCAGAAGCAGATATCTTGTTTTCTAGTTTAACAGGTCCACAGATGGAGATTTGACCCCAGGATGGATGATAACCGGAGTGTCACCATTCTTGCTTTAGATGAATTAGATGATCAGATTTGGGACTTTGGAGCTAATGTGATTCAGATGTGATTTTTACATCTGAGTTGGTAATGTAGTACTGCAGACTTTGAGGAATACTGGGATGATTAAATGTATTTTGCATGTGAGACAGATGTGAGTCATTGGGGGCCAGAGGGCAGACTCTGATAGGCTGAAAAATGAGTTCCCCAAAAGATAATCATTTTCTAATCCCTGGACCTATAAATGTTAACTTATTTGGGAAAGGGGCTTCTGCATGTAATTAAGTTAAGGATCTTATGAAGGATCTGCTTTCCTGGGTTATCCTAGTAGGCCCTGTAATAGTCAGGATTCCCCAGAGAAACAGAACCAATAGGGAAGAGATATATAAGCTGTAAACTAGAGAACCAGGAAAGCCTGTGGTATAATTCAGTTTGGGTTTGAAGACCTAAGTTCAGGGTACTGATGATGTAGGTCTCAATCTGGGTCCAGAAACCTGAGGACAGGAGGGACTCAAGCAAAGGGAGCAAACTGTCCTTTTCTCTGCCTCTTGGTTCTGTTCAGGA